CACCGCAGCTCCCACCTGGCGCGCGTTCGCTATTCGCGCCGTCCCGCCCCTCACAACCTCCTCTTCCAATGAGCGCTAGGAGCCTCGCGCCGGATACGCCAATCAGAGAGGAGGCAGCGCCTACGTCACGGACGAACTGGCCAATCCAAAGTCCCAATCGCCCCGAGAGGGGCGGAGCATACCCGGGCCGGCCCCCGCTGCCGATTGGTGACTGACCACAGGGTGGCAGAGGCGGTGCCCTTGCGCGGATTGGCAAGCACAGCGATGGGGCGGAACCCTGGCGCCGATTGGCTCGCGCTCCGGGCCGGGCTTGGCGATTGGGCGCGGGTGCTGTCAGCCTCACGGGCGGGCGGGGCTTTTGGCGGGGCGGGGCTTTTGGCGGGGCGAGGGTCCGTGTGAGGGTGGCGGGCGAGCGCTGAGGCGGCGTCATGTCCTCCGAGGTGGCCGCGCGCCACGATGCCAAGAAGCTGGTGCGCTCCCCCAGCGGCCTGCGCATGGTGCCCGAGCACCGCGCCTTCGGCAGCCCATTCGGCCTGGAGGAGCCGCAGTGGGTACCCGACAAGGAGGTAGGTTGCGGTCCCCGCCAGTCGCGCGTCCGCGCCCCGCGCCTCGGGACCCTCGACACCCGCAGACGCCCGGGACACCCAGGCCGCGGCCCTGGACCCCGTCCGCGCGCCCGGCACGCCCTGTCTCCCCGACGCCCCGCCTCAGCCGGAGCAGCCTCTGCTCCCCGTTGGCCTCCTCCGCTGCCCTCCTGGGGCCCCTCCCGGCCGCCCTCGGGCACCCCTGTTCCGCGCCCTTAGGGAGCTCCCAGGCTCCTGCCGCCCGCTCTCCACTCATGCAGGGACCTCGGGCACCCTGCCTTCTGCATGGTATCCTCGCTCGGGGCGCCAGGTGTCCCCCATCTCTCCCCCCTCTAAGTTTCTGTGCCCCTCGCACGGGCCTCGCTGGTGTTTCCGGGCTCTGCCCACCTGGATGTCATCTGCATTCCACGACATCACCTGGTTGAGCCGCTGGGGCGGGACCGCTGAGACCCAGTTGCAGCTCCTGCCCAGGGGGAGCGGAACCCCGTATTTATTTTTAGTACAGCCTTCTCTGCGGAGGGCCCCCGGGTATGGACTGCGGTGGCCGGTGGCGTTTGCGCGGAGTCGGAGCCTCCAGGTGGAGAGCGGGAGCGCGTCCTGCTCGGGGAGCCGCACCTGCTCGGAGCGGCGGGAGCAGACGAGGCCGCGGGAGTGAGGGGTCCGAGGCCAGTTGCCGCCCCATGGGCGGGTGGCCGCGGCACTTTCTGGAGGCCCTTTAGTGCCCTGCCGGGGAGTTTGGACTCCATCCCATCAGCCAGTGATTCGCAGCGACGCGAAGCCAGGCGGAAGAACTTTTCGCGTTCCTGCAAATCGGCGATGTCTGAAAGACGTCAGCGTGCGTGCCTTTTTGCAATTAAATGTGTCGGGGTCACATTGGTTAGTACCACAAGTTTCAGGTGTGCAGCTGCACAGTACGAAGTCTGTGTGCTCGCCGCCGGAAGTCTAGGCTCTTTCCTTCACCACGTATTTGACCCCTTGACCCCCTTCGTTCCCCCACCCCCCTTTCCCTCTGCTGACCACCGTCCGGTTGTCTGTATCTGAGTTTGTTTGCTCCTTGTTTTATATCCCGCACATGAGTGAAGCCATCAAAGTGCTGTTTTTTGTTGTTGTTGTTTTTTTAAGCACCTTTAAATTACAGCTCCGTCTGGAATTAGGACAAACTGCTTCTCCTGTCCCCTGAGAATCCCTGTTACAGGCGCAGGTGTTCGGCAGACGAGTGAAATCAGGTGTTTTTAAAGCAGTGGGCGGGGACGTGCCTCGCCCGGTGGGGGCAGGGCGGCGCGGGACGACACATGCCCGCGCGCCGCTGTCCTTTGCTCCCTTTCTGTTGCTCGTCCCCGGGCGTCTGGCGGTAGATGGCAGTCGCGGAGTTGAGAGAGGCCAGCGCACAGCGACGTTGGGAGTCGCCCAGGCCACTAGGGAGGCTTTGCGGAGTGGGTGGTCACTGAGCGGGGCCAGGCCACCGCCTCCCTTCGGTTTCTTGTCGCCCTGTTTGCGCTTTTCTCTGCATTGCTGCCCTCGGCCTCTGCGCTCACAGAATGTCCCCTCTCTCCGCACACCGCCCCCCTGGCGAGTGCTGTTGAAAGACAGTTAAAGGGGAAACAGGCAACATCAGGACTCGTTCTCACAAACGAGTACGTGTCACAGAGTGCACTTAGCTGTGGCAGTGAGCCGCGCAGATACCAGGGGTCAAGGAGAGGTCAGAGGAGCACAGTGACAGGGAAGGCTGGGGAATGGCCGCTTTCATCACGGGGGAGGGGCCCCACGGCCTCAGCGGGGTGCAGGCTGCCTGTCTATAGGTATCTCCAGTTGGTCCAGCTGCGGGGTGCGGGGGGGAGGGGGAGGTGTTCCAGAGGCCAGGCCGGTGTGTCACAGGGTTTTTCCACTATTGCCCCGCGAAGAGCCTCTTCAGACGTTTTGTCTCCAGTTGCACCCCGCGCCCCCCAAACGTTCGCTGCCGTGCGCCGCGCGCTCCAGGCGGCCTGGTTTTCCCGGGAAGCGCGTTTGCCCGCGGGTGGGCGCGGCGCGGGTCTGACGGCTTCTCGGCTACGACCCGACAGCCCTCGCCCGGCGCCCGCGGTGTTTCCGGGGAGCCCTGCACACGTCGCCTCTGCTCGCGCCGCGGCGTCCCGCGGGCAGGCGCGTCTGGAGTCCGCCGCGCTGTCACGCGAGCTCTTGCGAAATTCCTGCGAGGCTGGGTGGCGACACCCCCTCCCTTGGAAGTTGCATGCCCCTCCGGAAGCGCCCCGCCCTGCCCGCATTAACCGTGACCTGAGTCGCCAAGGAAGGCCCTGGAAGCCGAGCGAGCCTGGAGGAGGGGAGGGGACCTCCCAGGGCGGCCAGACTTCCCTGAGTGTGAGGAAATGTTTTTAAATTCACTGCGGCGGGGCCCTAGAGCCCAGAATAACCCGAGAGTCGCGGGAAGAGACAGCGGCGTGGGCGGCCTGGGCGGGCCGCCGGGATGGAGCCCCGCCTCGGCTGCGCCGCCTGGGGGCGGCCAGCGGGCAAGGGCAAGCGCCGCGCGTGTGGCGTTGCTGCCCTGGCGCTTGGGGTGCCCAGCCCGACGCACTTGGCTGCGCTCTGCCCGTTCGGTGTTTCTGGGGCCCCAGGTCATTGTGTGCAGGGGTGACTCGAGCATGGGGAGACCCAGGTGTGAGGAACGGGCTTCTTCGTGATGGTTTGGAATGGGTCGCGGGAATGGCAGCAGGGTGACATATCGTCCTCAGCTTTTCTGCCCATCCTCCCCGCACTTCTTGACCGTGCACAGATTAGTCATTGTCATCATCTGTACATGTTCCCTCGTGTGCCAGACCACCCAGTCCACGTCTGTGTGTCTGCGAGTATGTGGGACGCATCTGACCCTGTGCCAGGTTACTAGGTTGGGCCCAAGGGGATGCCCCTTAAGGTGTTGAAATATTTGGGGATGTGCGCGCATCTGTAGCGCTCAGCTTCTCGGAGGGGCTCCTGCCCCAGAAAAGACTGAGGATCGCTTCTCAGGTATGAACCCAGAGGGTTATGTGATCTCTGCCCCCAGGGGTTCGTGGGGCAGGGAGGTGGGCAAGGAGGGAGCCTGGAATGATCTCAAGGGGCTTGAGAGGCTGCCATCAAAGTGGGCTGGGGCGGGCCATCTGGGCATGCGCCCTCAGCGCTTAGTCACGGGCAGCCGCGATACTGTTTTTACCCGTGAAACCCATGCAGTTTTGCACCCCGCCCCCTATCTTTCCATCCTCGACCCTGGGTGTAAACAGTGCTGAGGAAAGCGTGGTGCTGTCACTTCGACACCGGACACTTTCGGTGCAGAGCTGGGGAGATCCAGAGCAAACCGGACTGGGGGAATTTCATTCCACTGGGTCCTTGGGGGTGGGGCACACTGCTGTGACCACCCGATGTGGGGTGCAGGTGGAGGTGGGGACGCAGGTGGGGGTGCAGATGGAGATGCAGGTGGAAGTGGGGGTATGAGTGGAAGTGGGGTGCTGGTGGTCTGACCTGACAGCAGATCAGGGGGTGCATCTCCCCAGGTCACAGCCGAGGGGCCTGGAGGAGAGAAGCCCATGAGTCAGGTTAGCGGGCGCCTTGTTCTGGTTGATGGGTGGGGACAGACAGGTCAGCGAGTCAGAGACGGAGGTGAAGAAGGGGAACCTGGGGTCTGTGTCGGCCTCGTCCCAGGTGAACGGGCACCTGAGTCTCGTCCAGGTCGTGTGGGATGGGGCTCTCTGAGGGGTTTGGGATCGCAGGTGAGTGCGGGCGCGAGGGGCCGGGGGCTGGGGCGGGCGGCCCTGTGGTTCCTCTGCCACTGTCGGGAGAAGCCCCACCACAGGGCCCAGACCATGGGTTCCTGGGTGGCCCGCACCCCCGGCCAGTTGCCCATGACGGCCCAGCACGCGGAGGGCCCGACATTGGCAGGCGCATCTTGTCTGTGAGGGGCAGCGGCCCCCCCCCCGCACCTTGGGAGCAGCTGGCTGGCATCTGTGACCTGGCGTCTGTGACCGGCTCGTCCCCTCCCTACAGCCCTCGTGTCTGCTCCTGGATCCCCTGGGATCTGGGTTTCCTACCCCCCAGTGACCCCGCACTAACTCACGAGTTACCTCTTTGACCCGAGTTCATTTATATTTCTAGGAGTTATACTTTCACTCTTTAAAAAGAGTCATTTTTCAATAAAGATACATCAGTACATGTATTTAAAATTTTTAGTTTTATGATTTATTTTTGAGGAACCTAAGGAGTGGTCTAGTGTGAGAGCCTGGGGCCAGTCAGGTGGGAGGGTGTGGCCACCCTTGGTCATACCCCAGCCTCAAAGGGATCAGACGCTCATGTTCTAAAGCTTTTTTTTTTTTTTTTACGGTAGCTTCTTTTTAACATTCCTTTAAGCCCTGCAAACTTTGTGTTTTTGGACTGTTTTACCTGAGAGAGAGATGCTGTCCACTGTCCCTTGGGGATGGTGGTTCGTTCTGAAGAGTTGCCCTGGGCACATTTGAGGGTGGCCGGGGGAGGGGGGTTTGAAGACCTCAGGCCTCCCATCAGCTCCGTCAGCCAAGGAGCGGGGCATCACCCTGGGGCCCTTTTGCCAGCCCGGCTGCGGCCCCTCCTGGTTCCCTTGTCCTGCGCGTGGCTCCAGCTACAGGACCAGCCTGGGCCTCCTCCCAGCTCCCCAAGTCTGCAGAGGTCCTGGCTAGCTCATTGGGGCAGCCAGGGGAGCATGCTGGGAGGTGGAGTGGCCCGTGTCCCTTAGGGACCCTGGGAGGCTTCTTCCCTCCAGTCCCCACCAGGCGAACTTGGCGCGGTGAGCGATGAACACAGGTCCAGGCTCCCGTTGGCACTGCCTCCCCGGGAATGAGGTCCCGGAGGCCGCTGTGGGTCCCCTCTCTGGCTGGGGTCTGGCGGCAGAGCATGTGGCTCCACCTGCACCCCCGCATGGGTCCCCCTGAAGGTCCTCAACGCCTTGGTGGGTCAGTCCTGCAGGTCTTGGTCCTCCCTGGTGACTGTACCTGTGTGACTGTCAGCCTGGCCCGCCCTGGCCGTGACGGTGAGAAGCTGGCATCTCAGGCAGCCTTTGCTGCGTATGGTGTTGGGGCGGGGTGCGCCTGGTCTCTGGATGGCAGCTGCCCAGGGCCCCAGAGCCGAGTGTCCCGGGAGTCTGGGCATGCTGCCCGCAGATCTGCAGCCATGGCTTTCCTCGTCTGCATTTGTTTCGGTGGTGGCACAGTGGTTAGACGTGGACGCAGTCCATGAAGTCACCGCCCGCCACCACGCGCGGTCTTTACATTCCCTGTGCTGCTCTTTCTACCCTGTGACTGTCGTGGAACTGCCAGGTTGTACTTCCTCACACCCTCCCCCTTCTCACCCAGCCCCCCAACACCCTCCCATCGGGCAGCCGTCAGCTCTCTGAATCCGAGTCTGTTCACATTTGTTCGTTCGTTTATTTTATTCCTTAGAGTCCACATATAAGTGAGATCCTACGGTATTTGTCTTTCTCTGACTTACGTCACTTACCATAATACCCTCCAGGTCCGTCCATGTCATTGCAAATGGTAAGGTTTCATTTTTTATGGCTGAGTAATATTCGATCGTACACATGTGCCACATCTTGATCTGTTTGTCTGTCGACGGGCACTCAGGTCGCTTCCGCGTCCGGGCTGCTGTAAACAGCGCTGCAGTGAACACAGGGCAGCATAAATCTTTACGAATTAGTGTTTTGCTTTTCTTTGGATAAATACCCGGAGGTGCAATTGCTGGGTCAAAAGGCAGTTATAGTGTTAATCTTCTGAGGAACCGCCAGACCGTTTTCCTGGGCGGCCGCACCCGCGTGCGTCCCACCGGCAGGGTCCGGGGCTCCCTCTTCTCCACGTCCTCGGGCAGCCCTTGTTTGTTGATTTATTGATGCCAGCCATTCTGACAGGCGTGAGGTGATACTGTGGTTTTAATTTGCATTCCTCTGAGGATTAGTGACCTTGAGCATCTTTTCATGTCTCTGTTGGTTGTCTGTATTTCCTCTTTGGAAAAATGTCTATTCAGGTCTGGTTTGGGAATCACGGTAATGGTGGCCTTGTTCCGTAAGTTAGGGAGCTTTCCCTCTCAAAGTTTTTGGAATAGTTTGAGAAGAATAGGTGTTAATTCTTCTTTGAATGTTTGGCAAAATTCGCCTGTGAAGCCATGTGGCCCAGGCCTCTGGTTTGTTGGAAGTTTTTCGATGACCGATTCGATTTCGTTGGCGATCGGTCGGTTTGGATTTTCTGTTTCGTCTTGACTCAGTCCTGAGGGAGCGTGTGTTTCTAGGAGCACATCCGCCTCTTCCGGATCGTCCAGTTTGTTGGCATGTAACCTGACGATCGTTTGTATTTCTGTGGAGTCCACTGTCACTTCTCATTTCTGATTTTATTTGGGTCCTCTCTCTTCCCCTGATGAGTCTGGTTAAAGCTTTATCAATTTTCTTTCTTTCAAATAATGAACTCTTGGTTTCGTTGATCTTTTAATTGTTTTTCTAGACTCTTATTTCATTTATTCTCTTTTCACGTGAAATTTATCTGCTAATTTAAAATTTTTCTTTTCCATGATCAACAGAAAATTACCTTGTTTAAAAGTCTGTCAATTTTCTGAATAACTTCGTTAGTTATTTAGAGGAATAAAAAACTTCTAGATCACTCTTATTTTTAAGGGAGCAAATTTCAAATTCTGGCTGTGGTCTTACGTTTAGAAATTGGTGTTTGAACTTGCCCAGACATGTGAGCCTTAGAGTGACTGCGAGACAGCCTTTGTCACTGCCGCCTGTAAGGACTCGGAGCAGCATCCAGGCCATGGGAGAGCCTCAGGGAGCTGTCCCCACCGGATTCTGTGGCTGATGGGTATCTGGGGTCGCAGGAGTGGGTGGCCCTGTGCATAGGCCCCTCCCACTGCAGGCTGATGTCTGAGAAGGCCCAGCCTGGACACCTGTTCTTCTGTGGTCAAGGGTACACTGTGGCTCCCAGCCTCCTTCCAGGAGCATCTGCCTGGTCCTGGCACCAGTGGACTGGTTCGGACCGGGCACGTGGGCCCTGGGGACTGGGTGTGGAGTCCCTCAGGGTGCTCCTTTGCCCGCGCACCATGCACAGGCCGAGGAGGCTGGGCCCGCAGGACGTCGTGGAGTAGGGCCCAGTTCCTGCCCTGCACGCTGGAAAGGACACAGGGACAGGCCTGCTGGCCAGGGCTGGCTGACAGACCCACAGTGCTGACCCTGGGGGTCAACCCCTTGTCCTTGCCTGGCAGGACGTGTCATCGTCATGGTGTCAGCTGCAGCTGCCTTTGTCCGGGGCAGCTGAGCGTGTCCGCTTGCCGGCAGATGCGCACTGGCTCTCGCGTTCGGTCAGAGGTCCGAGCTCCTTGGCGGTTGGTCTGGGGTGATGTGGCCATTTGAAGTCGCTGTTCCTTGGCACCTGGAGCAGGGCTGCCGCCCGCCTTCAGGCCACCCACGTGTGTCTGTGCTCCCAGGCTCGGTGGGTGCAGGGTTCCTGGTGCCAGCCGCACCCTAGCAGCCGGCCCTCTGCGGCCGCTTTCACGTGCCCCCCCGGCCACGCCGAGACTGTGCGACCCACCGGGACAGACACATGGCTTCCCTGGCTGGGACTCGTCACACCCCCATTCACGGGCAGGCATCTGCGTCTGCTCCTGCTGTGGAATGCCCCCGTCCCTCATGGCTCCGACCCTTGGCTCCAAGCGCCGGACCAGGGAGTTCCTAAAGTGACCTGAGCATGGTGACGTGGGCTCTATCCCCCGCCCACTCCCTACCTTGGAAGGACCTGCACTGCTGGGCACCCGCCGTCACCCTGCCAGCGCCCCACACCCGGGACCGCGTGGGAGCCGATCCGCAGAGGGGAGGCCGGTTCCCACGCCTCAGCCCGGCCTCGGCCACTCCGCTGGAGACGGCGGGGTTCTGATATTTGTCACCTTCTCTCCCAGTGCCCACGATGTATGCAGTGTGACGCCAAGTTTGACTTTCTCACCAGAAAGGTAAGCTGAGGCCATCAGGTGGGAGGGGCCCAGACAGACGTCCCGGTGCCCTCCCCAGAGGGCCGGCTCCATGGAGGGGTGGCCAGCCGCCTAGTCTGTCCCCGGGGGCTGCCTGCCCAGGAGCACCGGGAGGCAGGGACTTGGCCCAGGTCAGCCCGCACGCCCGTGTGACCCTAGGGGGTGTCCTGCCCTCAACACGAGCTTGGCTCGCGGCACAGGGGTGGGCGTCTGGGCCGAGGGGGCACAAGGCTGCGACGGCACCTGCTGGGCCCAGGACCTCGCGGCTCCCCGGCCCGTGACGGACGCAGGCGGGGCCGGGCCGGGCGGCGCGTGTCCCTGACCCTCGCCCACACTGCCCTGCCGTCCCCAGCACCACTGCCGCCGCTGCGGGAAGTGCTTCTGCGACAAGTGCTGCCGCCAGAAGGTGCCGCTGCGGCGCATGTGCTTCGTGGACCCCGTGCGGCAGTGCGCCGCCTGCGCCCTGGTGTCCCACAGGGAGGCCGAGTTCTACGACAAGCAGCTCAAAGTGCTCCTCGACGGTGAGCGGCCCCGCGTGCTGCCTGGGACTGCGGGTCCTCGCGGGCCCTCGGGCGGGGGCTGGAAGAGCTGCGGCCACTTTCCCGTCAGGTCGGGCCTTGGCCCCGTTCTCCTGGGTCCCTGGAGAAGCAGCTGCAGTCCAGCTGTCCTCCCCATGGACGGAATGCCACCTACAGTGTTGGCCTGACTTTGCTGGGCTTGAGGCCAGTTGGGGGGCTGCCCGGCGATGGGGGGACCCTGGGCTGGGCGGAGCGTGATGCTTCCATGGTGCTGTGACCATTCCCCCAGGGATGGGCCAGCAGTAGGCGGAACTTTCCAACTGGCCGTCGTGAGCCGTGGGTGACCCAGGGGCAGCCCTCTGTGGTCCCTGCTCCGGCCACCTCTTCCACAGGCCTGCGCGGGGTCCTGGGGCCTTGGGCCAGTCCCCCGGTGGGACGCGGGCACTGCGCCTCCTCTCCGGCTCTGGTCCGGCGGCCGCGCTGCAGGGCGAGGCGCAGGGCCCGTGCCGTCCGCCCTGGGCCTCCAGGTGGAGCCCCCTGCGCCTGGGCCTTCGGGACGAGCAGACCCCCCTGACCGGTGCCTTTTGTGTCCCTCGATCCCGGAGGCCACTGCAGCCTTTGTGCCGCAGCGGTGGGGTCCCAGAGCGCAGGCGTGCCTCATCCCCTACACGCGTCCGTCCCTGTGTCTGGCCGGGGAGGGGCGAGGTGTGCGAGGAGCTGGCTGTGTTCTCACGCTTGGTTTTACGCCCTCAGGAGCCACCTTCCTGGTGACTTTTGGGAACTCAGAGAGATCAGAAGCCATGGTCTGCCGTCTTTCCAGCAACCAGAGGTGAGTGGCAGGGCACTGCGTGGCACTGGCAACTGTGTCCCCTCGAGCCCTCAGGTAACACGTTTGGACACTCTGTCTGACAGGTACTTGCTCCTGGATGGGGACAGCCGCCACGAGATCGAAATCTCGCACATTGCGACCGTGCAGATTCTCACGGAAGGCTTCCCTCCTGGAGGTAAACGCCGCCTGCCCGCTACCACCAGGTGGCCTGGCGCCAGCCTCAGTGAAATCTGGGGTGACACAGTGGCATTGAGGATGGGGATGTGACTTGTTGGCAGGGTCTCCAAGATGTCTGCGTGTCCTATGCTGTGGGCTGGCGTTTACTAAGTGGCTCCAGGAACCCACCGGGTTTGTGGGGGCTTAGTATGTACAGTGATGAAGGAACGTGTCCCACACACGCTCCCACGTAGGGTCCGGTCACTGTTGGCCGCCCCCAGGGAAAAGCTCCGAGTGCAGCTGGCTCTGCCTGGTGTCCGGAAAGAGGCCAGAGTGTGGCTCGTTGGGCCCTCCCTGCTCGTCAGGCCTCCGGAAATGCAGCTCCTTTACGCGGCCCAGATCTGTCCTCTAAACCCCCGCGGTGGCCACCCCTCTGCAGAAAGGGGTGCATGGCCCGTGCCGTGCGGGGTACCAGGAACCCGTGGGACTGAACCGTCCTGCTGTCCTCTGCTCGCTCTTGACTGTTCTTCTCTCCTGCCTGCCTTCCTGTCTGGACAAAGACATTCACACTTACGCCAGCCTCCTGGGGAGCCAGCCCGCCTCCGAAGGTCAGCCGTGCCCCCGGCTCTCTCCGCATGCCGTGCCGACCCTGCTTGTGTCGGGGGGACCTGCGCCAGGGGCCTCTGTGAGACGCACACTCGCTTATTTTGGTCGACTTGAAAGAGGGGGTTGGGTCCGTGACGTGGGCATCGAAAGCGTAAATGAAAACTCCCCAGCAGGAGAAACATTTAATTTGTTCAGTTTCTGCACCCCATGGGGGAGCGTTCCCCCACATCTCAACTTCTCGTGGCTGCCCGCGGGCTCTGAGCAGGCCGAGCTAGGGGCAGCAGCCCTTCTCAGTGGGCTCCCTGGGCCTCTCCGACACCCCGCGTCTGTCTGATCCTCTGCATGATGAGGCGAGGGCCAAGCGGTGTTTCACCACCTCTGTCCCCCTTGGTGGCACCAAGCTGGTTGCCTGTGGCAGGCTAGTAAAGGTGCCCTGGTGCAAAGGGCAGGATCTGGAGAAGCTAGTGGTCACCCTCGGTGGCCCGAAGCCAGGGCAGGGGTCGCCACCCCAGTTGGCCTAAAGAATCCTCTGGTCTTTCTCCTGGGCACGCCCCTGCGGCTTCTGGCGCCGCTGCCCCCTTGTGGCAGTTTTGGGAGTCCAGTGAGCCTTGCTTTGCCAGGTTTTCTAGAACCTTCAACTCCCCAGCAGCGCTGTCCGGGGGGTCGGGGCATGGGAACAGTCAGTCCCGAGGGGCCTGCCCGCCAGACAGTCACTGTGTTCGGCTCTGCGGGCCAGACAGACTTGCAAAGGACGAAGCAGCTGGAGTGGACAGGGACGCATGCCCATGGCTGTGTGCCAGTGAACCTCTGCTTCTAGGAGCAGGTGGTGGGTGGAGCCCGGTAGGACAAGCCAGGTGACAGGCAGGACCGGAGTGTGGCTTGCGACAGTTTAGGAGGCCTCTGGGCCCTGGAGGACAGCTCTTTACAGTTGCGATTGCCTTCGAGGTCGGCAGGCCTCTCCCAGCCAGAGCGCGTTCCCTGCCTGCTGTCCTTTGTGTCCTCGCCCTGCTGGCCTGTGGGAGTCGGGCCGTCAGTCACAAAGGAAGAAGTTACAGGTGAAGTTCACTGTGTGGGGCTTGGTCTCCATGTCACTTCCCTGACTGCAGCGTGACTGCGAAGAGCCACTGTCCACGAGTGGCTGGTTCTCAGAGTAGGCGCTGGAACCAAATCATCCATGGAGCTGGTCCTGCCCTAAAGTAGGTGGTGTCAATCAGGCCAGCCCCCCGAATTGGTGACCAGGGTGGTGGCACTTTTCTGGTGTTAGGCCTTGCTTGCATGCTCAGCCCCCTCAGCTTTGACCCTGGTTCTTGGTGGGGTGGCTGTGACCGCCCGGCCCCCGCCCTGGTGCAGACAGGTGCGATGGGCTCAGATGGAGCGGCCTTGTCTGGCTTCCTGACCGCTGGCACTCCCACGGGACCAGCAGGTGCAGCCGCACTTCCCTTGGCTCTCAGTGGCACAGTGTGATGTTTGTCCCAGTGGCACTGTCCCTTTCCTGTGCTGCGAACTTGGGCTCGTCCAATAGAAGGCCTGAGGGGCCCGTGTCATTGGGTGCCTCCTGAGCACAGGCCCCTGCCCGAGCTGCCTCCTAGACCAGCACAGGGTTTGGGAGGCACCCTGGCCACCACTACATCAGGGCTGATGGGCTTTTGGGTGCTTGGGGTCCCCTCTGAGCCTTCTTACCTGGTCTCACTCCAGGAAGCAACGCACGGGCCACAGGCATGTCCCTGCAGTACACGACACCAGGGGCAGAGGGCATGACCCAGCTGAAGCTGACAGCCTGGGAGGATGCAAATGCCAGCAAGAGGCAGTCGACAGCATGGCTGGCAGCCATGCACAAGGTACAGCGGGAAGCTGGGCCGCCCATACCAGCTCCTGCCAGGACAGGACCAATCGCGTTTCTCTGTATTTCTGGTCACCTTGCAGGCTGCCAAGCTCCTCTATGAGTCTCGGGACCAGTGAGTGCACGCGGGCTGGCCCGTCAGCTTGAACAGCGGAGCCTGCTCTGCACCGCACAGGCGACCAGGCCGTGTGCCAGGAAGTGCAAGTACTGGGAGAAACAGACGTGTCGCTTACCTAGTGCAATATTCACACCGTTTATTAACTCTCTAAATAGCTTCCTGCTTTGGAATCTGTATTTTCTTTTGACACTTAACTGGGGTGGGAAAGACTGAGCTACACTACTGCTGATCTATTTTTGGTGTTACCTTACATTTTTATGAGTGCCAGGTTTACCGGAAGGTTCTGCCCCTCGATGCTGGTTTCCTTGGTCCTTCCACGGGGACGGCCTGGGCCGCGGGCACTCGGGCTGCAGCCGCGTGGCCCTGGCCATAGGCTGTCATGCGCCATGGCACTGGTCAGGGTCTGCGAACAAACCTTTGATACTTCATGGGGAGGAGCCAGCTTCGTTTTGTACTTTTCACTTTACTAAAATAATGGTACAACAGTTTGTATATAAAGCTTGATTAAAACCTATTTTGGAAATACGGATCGGGGCTCGCCTCACTGTGTCCCTACCCGTGCGCGCTCCCGCCGCAGCGCCGTGCTGCCCCGGAACACACCACACGCAGCCGCAGTGACAGACAGCGGTTTATTGTGCACGTTTACACGGCAGCAGCGGGGACACAGTGGTCACGTCTGGCGGCTGCACCAGCGTTCGTTTTTGTCACCACTGTGTACATTGCGCCCAAAGGTGACCAGCCACAGCAAGGGTCTTTACACATTTGTACACAAACTGTACACCAGACTCGTACATGGAAAATAAAGCCGAAGGGCCTGGATTTTAATGAGAGAAAAAACATTTCCAACATCATTCTGGGAGTTTCGAATGGTCTCGTCAAAAAATACTTTTGGTATAGAAAAGCCTGTCCGTACAAGTGAACGGCAGCGAAGGGCCTCAGTTGCTGGAAGCTGGGGGCAAGGATGAGCACGTGGTGGCGGCCCCGCCCTGCCGGCCCACAGCGACCCCCCCAGTCCCCGCACTCAGCAGAGTGTCCACGCTGTGAGCGGACAAGAGCCACACCTGGGCAGCGGGAGGCTGCGGAGAAGGCAGCAGCTGTGAGCAGAGGCTCCCGCCTGGGAGCCACCCGGTCTCAAGGACCCTGTGCCTGGGGCGAGGAAGCCCAGCCCAGCACCCAGCCCAGCACCCAGACCAGGAAGTGGGGCCCCCGCCTCAGGACTGCCAGTGGACAGGCGTGTCCCTACAGGTTCCTTTGGTAACAAAAGGGAAATACACGCGTGCCGAAGGGCAAAGGGTGGCCGGTCCCTGACGCCCAGTAAGGGGCGGGGCTCTATGGGGGAGCACACCACAGCAGCTGCCAGTTTCCACTGCTGTGTCAGGGGGAGGGCGACACTGGGAATGAGGGCGGCCTTGGGACCAAGTCGGAAAGTGTCCGTCTCCACTGGCAGCACAGGTGGTCACTTAGAAAGCTCGGTGTTTATTTGGATTTACAGTAACTGGCAAAATTCAGTCTCCTTGGAGGCGAAAGTCGAGAAAGGGCCTCGCCTAGGAGCCGCAGGTGTCACGGTGGGCGCCGTCTGCGACAGGAGCGCCTCGACAGCGGCAGTCGCTCCGGGCGGACGCAGGGTTAGCTCGGCGGCTCCCTGGCGCAGCCCGCGCAGCGCTCCGAGGGGGGACTCAGGCGAGCGTCCGCTGCCGGGGTTTGATCCGAGGGTACAGCTGGGGTGCAACAGACGCGAGTTAGGGCATGGCACTCTGAACGAGAATGGGGGCCGGGGGCCAGGTGCCAGGCTCCCCTGCCCTGCCCACCCCAGACAGCCCCGTGGCCAGCTCTGCGGTCAGCCTGAGACCCTCCTCCGTGCTCCCTATCACCTGCACCCCTACTCCAGGTCCCCGACCCCTCCCCAGCTCCTGGAGCACTTGGGACCACCTAGGGTACTTGTCCCTGTCTGAAAGCCCGCAGGGCAGGCCCCTCTGTTCCCTGCATGCTTGGGAGCGACAGTAGCACACCTGCCAGCCCCACTGAGGCACGCGGAGGAGGGCGGAGGCCGCTGCTCTGCCCCGGGACTGATGCAGTTACAAATACAACGCGTAGCAACCTACAGGCTGAGAACCTCCCCCCATCAGAGAAATTTCTAGGCCGCAGTGGTCTGCTCGGGGTGAGACTGAGTGCTCGCTGAAGTTCCCCATGAGGAAACGCTGAGCAGACGCCCTGCTGTTCCCGTGTGAGGCCAGGCCTGTGCCCTGCACAGGTGCCCACGTACGGGGGACGCTGGGGCGTGGACAAAGGCAGGCTCCTGCCCAGGGTCCTCAGCAGGGTCTGTCCTCACACTGGGCCCAGTGTTCCCTGACAGTGGGTTGGTACTGGGCCTCAGGAGCCAAGCTGGCGCGGCTGAGTGGGTCTTGGGGCGCGCTCAGAGGACTTACCCCTAGCAGGTTCTTGGGCACGTAGCCCTCCCGGTCCCCGAGGCGAGCCCACCACCACTCGGTCTCGCTCTCGTCCTTGCGCCTCAGGATGGTGATGGCGTCTCCTTCGTGGAAGGTCAGCTCGTCGCTATTCTGGGCCTCGTAGCCCCACAGAGCATACACCACGCCCTTGTTCATCACGCCCAACTTCTCCTGCACCCCTGGGACGAGAGCGCAGACGGTCAGGTCCCCGCGGCGGCGGGGAGTGGAGGTCGGGCTGTGCCCAGCGCCTTCTCCCCGGGCCACACGGCTGCCCTCAGCGAGAGGCCTGCTACTGAGCTCGGGGGTCCCGAGGCCAGAGTGGGTGCCGAGAGCATTTCTTCGGGTGGAACTCATGGCTCTCATCTAGAACAAGCTTCCTGAAGCCCGTGACTGAAGAGGTGGCCTGCCTGCACCCGCATGAGACCCAGCGGCAGTGACGGGAAGTTCATGCCCAGGTGTCACCTGTGGGCATCCTAAGAAAGGCCAGCCATGCTGGTGGCCCGGGCACCACCCTCCCCCACAGCAGCCTCTCTGATGGGGCCTGGAGGGCGGTGCCTATTCCCGTTGGTGGCTTTGTCCCAGGGGTCAGATGAAGAGCTGGGCCCACAGGTTCTCAAGTTAGGTGTGGGACAGGTGACCTGCGATCGCCTATCCCCGAGGCAGAAAAGACATTCCGGCTCTTGGGAAGCACAACCCTGCGTGGAGCGGCTCACAGAAGACTCCCGAGCTTCCGTCATCCGCAGACGCCACAGCGTGGGCACAGGGCATCCAGCCTGGCCTGACCCCAGCCCTCACAGGCCTTTCTGGCCATGCCTCAAGTGTCCTGGGTGCACC